CGTCGCCAACACATCCGGCCCACTTTGCGTTTACAAGTATCCCATGGCGTTCGCGACACCAGCGTTTAGCCTTCACTCGCTCGTCGGGTGCTCGGCCACCTTGCGCGTTGGTGGCACCGCGAGTCAAATCACAACGTCAGCGTGGTACGGGGACACGGTGAGTCCATGGGTAGCTCGCACCACACGCACCGCGAACGGCAACATCGTCACCAAGCACGGCGCACTCGTTCACGTGTCGACCGACCATTTGACCAACGGCGACCAAAACATCGTCCGGCTGCTGTACAAGGACATCTTTCGTCTGTGCATTCTGGGAATCGTCGTCTTCTACCGGATTTCGTCCATCTACTATCCCATCTGGCTCGCGTTTCGGCGCCAGCACCAGCCGTTCGTATCTTGGATCTGGCAGCGCCACTTGGGGCTCGTGCTCCACAAGCGAGAGCGACACAACCTCTGCGTGCTCTTCTTGCTCTCTCTGGAAGCTGTCACGAGCGTGGAGGACATTGTCGTTCACTGCCAGTACACTGTCTACACCAACGGCTCGTCGTATGGGTCGCTGCTTCTGATCTACATGTCGATCATGCGCATCGTCTGGCCCTGCGCACTGCTGCTGCTCGTCACCTCGCGGCTCCTTGGAGCTCTTCTCGGGCCCTCCAAGGCCTTTGCGGTCTCGGAAAACATCTTTCTGCTCGGCGCGCCCGTCGTTTGGGTCTACATTCCCATGTACGTGACCAACCAGGGCATGAGTCTCTTCCAGGGCTACCGCTGGACCGGCGCGATCGTCCACCACTACACCAACTCGATCTACAACGTGTACACCGACCAGCGCAACAGCTTTTCACTCTACTGGCGCCTTTTCGGTGTCTTCACGCTTGTTTCGCCACTTGTGGTTTTCGCACTCTCGGCGCTATGGCGGTGCACCATGCACACGGGCAGCATCTCGGCGTACCTTCTCTCTCCCGTGGACCGGCGCGGGACCAAACGCATCGAATGCAGCGTGGAAATCACCCCGCAGCTCGAGACGATTTTGCGCGACTCGACGTATTTTGTGCCGCCAAGCATTGCGCGTCAGATCACGCGCGCCAAGCTCCCAACGACGCAACGCTGCGAGGCGGGCAACCTCGCCGCCGATGGCCTCGTGTGCCTCGTGTACGGCGAGCTCCACGTGCTCGGTTTCATCGACTGGGGCCTCGCCTTTCCCATTGAAAACATATTGGGACACGTCGCCGTCATCCATGGCAGCCACGCAGCGTTCGACCCGAAAGTGTCCGTTCTGTCCTTGGTTGAAATGACAGCGTGCCCGATGGTGCTCGGCATCACTGACCTTGGCTAATTTGATATACTCTCAACTTTAGTTCAAAGACAGAGAAAAAACATAAGCTTGCGTGAATGCATCCAGATCTAGCCATGAGAATTCCACCACACTCGAGTGGCAACGTCCTTTGACACGGTGCGAGGTTGAAAGCGTCACAAATGCATCATTTGCATGTGTACAAGTCGTCGATTAGACGAAAATCCTGCCACCGAACGTAACCTCGGGCTAAATTTACGTGGCGCCAACCGCCATGGCGGACGAGCTCGAGCGCGAGATCCTCGCGATGGAGACGCGGCTGCTCGAGGTGAAGCTGACGATGGAGGCCGAGAAAGTCAACTGGGAGCGCGCCAACAAACCAACCAAGAAGACGGGTACGCATTGGAAGCGAGCGGCGAGAACGCCTCAGACGTCGGCGCCGCCCGTTCCTGTGCCCCCGGCCGAGAAGCCGCGGGCTCCGAAGCGATCGATGACGGCGCTGCTTCGGCAACAAACAAGCGAATGGAATACAACTGACGTAGTCGCGTGGCTCGAGCACCTGCAGTTCTTGGAGCTCGCACGCCTCGCGGGGGCAAGCGGTATCAACGGCGCACAGCTCCTAAGTGCGCACTTGGGGTTGAGCGATCTGCATCTCCGCCAACTCTTTCGCATCTCACTCGTCGACTCGTCCTGGAAAGCGTTCGTGCGGGAGGTCGCCAGCCTCCATCGCCGGCATGTCGAGATGCAGCAGCAGCTCACGCCACCGCCACGCATGACACCCAACGACGTTTCGCTGCCGACGATCGCACCGCCGACCCGCAAGCAGAAGCGCGTCAAGAAGACGCAACCCATGGCTGCCTGCTGGATCTGCGCCAAGGCAGGAAAATGCTTGGGTCGATGTGGACGCTGAAAGCTGCTTGTAGATGTGTCCCCGCCCACCCTCGTACAAGGAAACGGTCTTTTGCTGTTCGGTCGAGTG